CTTAGCCCCTTGAGAATTGCACTGTTAACCCCTAAGATGGTATTTCCATAGCAGTTTGAATTCACCGCTGGTTCTAATGGAGAAAGATGGGCAGTTTGCTCCACTGTGATTTACAGCCTCCAAAACCCTACAGGAAATGATGAGTCAATTCCAACTAGACAGCAATAAGTTGAGTTGTTTGTTACTTCTGTTTCATGTTGTAGGCCATGACACAATCAGTTTGAAGGTGTTTGTTAAAGAGTATCAGTCAGTAAATAAATCGGATGTTTAAAACCTGAAGACAGTTTATATACTCTGGCTTAATGGGTGGGGGGAAGGTAAAATTCTTAAAAACCTGTTTATGGTTTGTTGTTGTTGTTTGTTAGATGGCACTGAGTCTGTTTTGGCTCTTGTTATGTGCCACTGAGTCAGAACTGACTAATAGCTGACTCTTTCATAGGCAGTAATTAAATTACATGGGAAGAGATTGTCCATCCTTCTTGTTCAGGGCAACTGTTCGATTCAAACTGTGTACCTTTGGGTTGGTAGCACAACTCCTTACCACTAAGCTACCACCGCTCCCTTTTCTGGCTCTTGGTAACTATGTAACAGAATTGTGGGATTGATCCCATTTTTTTTTTTTATTTTTTCATTTTGTGTGTGTACCGTCAAATCGGATCTGACTGGTACAGGAGGAGATTGCCCCTTCTTTATCAGCATTGCGTCTGGTGGATTTGAACCACATACCTCTGGGATTGCAGTGCAGCTTCTTGCCACAAGGCCATCAGAGCTCCCTTTGGATTGATCCCATTTTTGCAGCTAAGATGTCAGTCCATCTCACTGGGGTCTTTCTTTTTTTTGCTGACCCTCTGCTTTCTTTTTATAATTTTTCCAGGGACTGCTGCCCTAATAACATACCTAAAGTATGTGAGATGATGTTTCACCATCCTTGCCTCCAAAGAGTATTCTGGCTGCACTTTGTCCAAGACATGTCTGTTTAATTCTTTGGCAGTTCATGGTATATTCAGTACACTTCTCCAATACCACAAATCAAAAGCATCAATTCTTCTGTCATCTTTATTTATTGTTCAGTTCTCAGGTACTTATCAAGTGATTGAAAAGCTCCTTAGTCTTCAAACTGGAATCACTGGTCCTCAGCACTTTGAAGAAGTTCCTGATAGCAGACTTGCCCAATACAATACATCTCCTGATCTCCTCAAGTCCCCTGCCTCCCATTTTAGGCCTTATAGCAGATCTTCTAGACATGCATATTTTGTTAAATACATCAGAAGCAAAGACACAAAAAGAGCAGCACAAATGAAGTGAGATCCTAGTGTATTGCTAGGAAGGGGTATTTCCTAGAAATATGGATATTGTACTTGGAAAGATGGAGAGTCAGCAAAAGAGAGGAAGCCGCTCAGTGAGATGGATTGACTGATACAGTGACTGCAGCCATGGGCTGAGGGGTGTCATAGGCGATGAGGATGGCACAGGATGGAACAAGGTTCAGATCTGTTGTTCACAGGATTATGGTAAGTTGTACTTGACTTAAAAGGACCCAAGCAACTCGACGGCACATAGCAACAACAACAACAATATAATGTGCACATGTTAGTGACCATCTCAGTTATTTAAATGTGTTTCTATGGAAAGAATCATTGGAGAATCTCAATATAAGTAGTTAAAACCAGGACACACTCTCACTGTGGAACAGATCATCAACTACTCAAGTGCAAGTTCAAACAGAAGCTGGAGGAAATAAAAAGAAATCCATGAGAACCAAATTACAGTCTTGAGTCTATCCCACTTGAATTTAAAAGTTGGTTCTAGGCATTAAACACTAATGATCAAAGACCAATTAAATGGTAGGATAATAGTAAGGATCATCCATAAAGAAAGCAAAAAGTCATTACAAAGAAGGGAGTGGGGGGAAACCCCACCAAAATTAGTATCAAAAGAGACTCTGAAAATTACACTAAAATGTTGAGAAGCCAAAACAAAGGGAAGAAATAATGAAGTGAAAGAATTGAACAGATTCCAAAGAGTATCTTAGGGCGACAAACAAAAAAATCCAAAAACAAGATAAACCAAAGAATTGGGATGAAATGTACAAAGAAGTAGAGTCAGAAAATCAAAAGGGAAGAACTCGTTTAGTATCTCTTGAACTGAGAGAACAGAAGAACAAATTAAAGTCCAAGAGGCAGCAAATAAATATGGAAGAAACACAGAGCCACTGTGACAAAAAGAATTGGTATACATGTAACCGCTTCAGGAAGCAGCATATGACCAAGAACCAGTGGTAATAAAGGAAGAATTTTAAGAAGCCCTGAAGGCACTGACAAAAAACTAGGCCCGGGAATTGATGGAAAACCAGTTAACATATTCCAACAAAGAAGTGCAGCCCTGGATGTGCTCACTAGGTGGTGCCAAGAAATCTGGAAGACAGCTACGTGGCCAACTGACTGGAAGAAATCCATAGTTATTCCCATTTCCAGTAAAGGTGATCCTACAGAATGTGGAAATTATTGAACAGTTAATATCACATGGAAGCAAAATCTTGTTGAAGATTATGAAAAACTGGCTAAAACAGTGTATCAACAGAGAACTGTTAGAAATTCGTGCTGGGTTTAGAAAGAACAGGCTGTGACATCAGGAATGACATTGATAATATCAGAGGATCTTGGCAGAAAAGATCAGAAGGTTGTCTATCTATGTTTTATTTACTATACAAATGCATTGGGTTCTGTGGATCACTACAAATTGACTAACATTGAGAAGAATGGGAATCCCATTCATGGGCATACTTAATTGTGCCTGTGCAAAACCTATACCTAAAAGGTGGGAGGGTCAAGGCTGCTGTATCTTTCTCCTTATATATTTAGTCTGTATGCTGAACAAATCATTAGATGAACTGGAGTTTATGAGGAAGACTCATCTGCTATCTGTATTATGCAAATGACACAGCCTTGCTTGCTGAAAATAAGGAGCACTTGAAACCTGTTGTAAAAGATCAGAGACTTCAATACTGATTGCATCTCAACATCAAGAAAATAAAAGAAAAATCCTCACCGCAGGGCTAATAGGTGGCATCATGATAGATGGAGATAAGATTGAAATTATCAACAATGTCACCAATCCACAATTGGATCCACAATCAGCACTCTTGATACCAGCAGTCAATAAATCTAAAGGTAAGTTGCTTGGCAAAATCTGTCAAGACCCTCATCAAAGTACTAAAGAGCAATGATAGCAGTTTAAAGACCAAGGTGTGCTTGATCCAAGCCATGGTCTTCTCAGTTGCTTGCTGTGCATCTGAAAGTTGGACAGTGACTAAGGATGACAGAAGAATTGATGACTTTGAGTTATGTTCTTGGAGATGAGTACTGAATATCCCAATGTCTGCCAAGAAAACAAACAGGTCTGTCCTGGAGAAAGTGAAACCAGGTTGCTCTTTGGAAGCAAGAATGGTGTGAAGCTCTGTCTCACTTATTTTGGGTATATTGTTTGAAGGGGCAGTTTTTTAGAAGAAGACATCATACTTGGAAAGATGGAAGGTTAGTGAAAGAGAAAGACCTTCAACAAGAATTGACACAGTGAATGTAACAATGGGTTCAAGTGTGTTGTACATGTGGCATGGCCAGGAGAGGACAGGGTTCAGGTCCATTGTTTGTAGGGTTCCTTTCTTTCTCTTTATTTTATTTTTTTATTTTTTTGTAGGGTTCCTTTGAGTGGCAGTCAACTTGAATGTACATAGCAAAAAAACATCTGAAGGTGCAACAAGTAAGAACTAACTATTGAGTATCACCTAGAGGCTTTCCAGTCCAAACTTGTTAAGAGGGTCGTGTACTACAAGAGTGAACTTGTGTCTTTTCTTATTGCCAAATTAAATGCAGCTATTCATTCATCAAGAACAAACAGCTTTTAGGGTGTTCAGTTGTCGAGGTTGGTGGGCAAAAAATACAGCCAAGATGCTGCGGAATCTGTTGGCTCTTCGTCAAATTACCCAGAGGACCAGAAGTACTGCTTCACGCAGACAGTTTGAAAATAAAGTTCTAGAAGAACAAAAGCTGTTTCAGGAGGATAATGGAATTCCAGTGCATCTAAAGGGTGGGGCAGCTGATGCCCTCTTGTATAGAGCCACCATGTTTCTTACAGTTGGCAGAACAGCATATGCCATATATCAGCTGGCTGTGGCTTCGTTTCCCAAGAAGCAGAATTGACTTCAAGTTATCATCCCAGCTCTGGCTTCAGTTTAATTCCGTGCCCTGTGGACCAGTAATCTGATCAAAAGAGCTCTTCTTTGGGGATCAGTATTTATTGACTTGCACTAACTGTCACCAATAAAGCAGTCTTTACCATGGAAAAAAAAAAAGAACAAACAGCTTTGTCTCCAGTTGTAGCTGCTTCTGCTTCCAGATGTAGCCACTAAAGTGCTAACAAATGCAATATAATGGATGTGCTTCTGTTAGTAATTTTGAAACTGAAGCTCCACATCATTTTTCAAATGACGGTCTTAGCTTAAAAGTTCTCCACCATATTGAACATATGAAAAAGAAATTTGTTGACCAGAGGCTCTCATTGTTTAAAATTTTTTCAGTGATTGTAATTTACTGTGTTTAAATTGTGGTTCTAAGGCTATTCCTGGTGCTACTTATTATGGTATGATTTCATGTGTTCACTAGCTGTTTCTTGGATGTGAGTTTTTAAAAGACAAATGTTTTGCTTAATACAAAGGAATCACTGGTGGGTACTGTAGACTTTAGAGTCATTTAGACACCAGTCTGCTATCCAGTGTGCTCAACAGAAGGAATGAAGGACTTAGCTGATTATATTGCTGACCAACAATATGTATAACCTTTAGGGGTTTGCTCCTGATTGTAGAAATAGTTAGCACCAAGCCCAAGAAATATTTTCATGATCATAACTTAATGTATTACCAACTGGTTATGAAAACTACACATCTGAAGTTTCATAAGATCAACTGTAAACAGGCATTCTTTCCAATTATTTTTCTCTTAAAGCTCCTTTGATTTGGTCGTCATTGGTGGTGGAATTGTGGGGCTTGCCTCTGCCAGAGCACTCATCCGGCGGCATCCAGCACTTTCCATTGGTCTGCTGGAAAAGGAAAACAAATTAGGTACGTATGATCAGTGGCCTAACTTAGTATCTGCTCATTGTGTCTTTGCTGAGTCTTTCATACTCAGTGCCGCTGTTAGTACCTTACCTTAGGTTCTTTTGAAAGCAGACTTGGAGACAAGGATGTGGATATGTAGATAATTTATTTGAAAGGAGGCAGGGATGAAGGAGTGGTAAAGTCAAACTGGAAAGAAAGAAAGCAAACCAGAAGTAGTACATAATGAGTGTCACAGCTGTCAGCTTCATTGTGCTGGGACTCCCTCAGGAGATATCTGTAGTTTCTCAAAGTTGTGCTCATTTCTCTAGCAGCTTCTGTCATTAGGAAGGAGTTCTGGGAGCCTAGTCAGCAGGGAGTTACAGTACAAATCCAGAGGTGGCGCTCAATCATCAGCTCCGAAGGGAGGAAGAGGGGGTTATCTTGTGTGTGTGATGTACAGTGTCTGAAAACCCACTGGAGAGTCAGCTATGAGTCAGTTCCGGCTGTAGGGCGATGAGTGAGTACCTGCCCTTATTGGTTGAGGATTGTCCCGGAGCTTGTTGAATGGCCTCTGCTCTACTCTAAAACATTAGAAAAAGTCAGAGTGGGCCCTTGAAGTGATTTGCTGGCAGCAAGAGTTAAGTCTCCTTTAAAGTTGTAGCTCCAGTTAGAGGTGAACTAGGGGGATATGACATGACACCAAGGATAGCCACTGTAGGAACTTAGAACTCCAAGAACACATTTAGATGTGATTTTAAATGCTGTCGTCTCTAATAGCTTCAATTCTGTAAGTGTGTTTCCCTACCTCATAGTTCTATGTGTGTGATGCCCTTTTTTCTTACCCAGTTTTCTTTTGTTCTATAGCTGTTCACCAGACTGGACATAACAGTGGTGTCATACATAGTGGAATTTATTATAAACCTGCATCTTTGAAAGCTAAACTGTGTGTTCAAGGTGCATCCCTCCTCTATGAGTACTGTGACAAAAAGGGAATTCCCTACAAGCAGTGTGGCAAGGTATGGCATTTTACTCAGTTCCAGAGTGATTTATTCTATTTGGTTTTGTAGGTAGTGAGTTAAATTACAGCTCAAAAGTGATGGTTCAATTCCACCAGGTATTTTTATTTATTCCTCAGGAGGATGATGGCAAGCTACTCACGTGCAATTTACAGCTTCTGAAAACCTGCTGAGGGGTCTGCGAGGAGTCATTTCCTATTTAGTGGCTCATAATATTAGCAGTGTTTTCTTAGTGATGTTTAATATTGACTTTTTTAAAAAAAAATGTCCTCTTCTTCCTTTGGGGTGTTTTTATTTTAAATCTCAGTAATTTATAAATTCTGGTATGAGCTCTGGTGGCCTAGTGGATAAGGAACTTTGCTACCAGCCCACAGGCAGGTGGCACTAATCTGCCAGCTGCTTCAAGGGAGAAAGATGGGCATTCACCCACCATGTGACTTAGAGTCTCTGAAAACCCACTGGAGGGTTGTTATGACTAGGTTCTGACTTGACGACAATGAGCTGAGTTTATTAGATAATAAATTATGGTATGACTGGCTGTAATTTTTTAAGTAATATTGAGATTTGGTTGATTCTGCTCTGCTACAGCAGTTTGAACCTCCCAGTGTTCTGACAGTGAAAGATGTGACAGTTTGCTTCCATGAAGATTCACATCCTCGGAAGTCCTCTGCCTTGTTTGTTGTCATTGGGTGCCATAGCGACCCTGTGAAGAACAAATCGAAACCTTGCCCTGTCCTCACAGTCTCCATCCATCACTGGAGGGTCACTATGAATCAGACTTTATTTGACCAAAGCGGGTTTGCATTTTTGGTTATGGTACCATTCATCTTTATAATCTATGTCATTTCATTTTTAGTGCATTCACAGAGTTGTGCAATCCTCATCAGTATCTAATTCATCAACTCTGTTGGCATGGTCTGTAGGAAGTGGCTCTGCTTACATAAAGGTGGTGCCTCTGGCAGTTCGAACCCACTAGCCAGCTTTTCAGGAGAAGGATGGGTAGTCTCCTCTGGAAAAGCTACTGGTGGGTCAGCTCTGAGCTGGTTCTGACTCGATGGTAGTAAGTTTAAGGAGCTCTGATGTTGTAGGCCCTAACGCATTGTACTACTAACCCAAAGGTGGTGGGTGTCTCTTTCGAGGCGCGAATTCATCAGTGCTTCTGAGAGAGAAAGATAGGTAATCTCCTCCCATATGATTTATAGCCTCCAAACCCCGATAGGGTCAGTTAAGGATCAGTTATGAGTCAGTTCTGACCAGATGGCAATAAGTTTTAAAGGTCTCTCATACCTGTTAGCAGTCACTTCTATTCTCTCCTCTCTCAGTTCCTGGAAAACACTGCATTGTTGTTTGGGCTGGTGAGAGTTGAAATGACTCATGGCTGATCTTTTGGCAGATTTTCAGAAACTGTAACTCTCGTGGGAGAAAATTGTCCATCTTTCTCCCTTAAAGCAGCTGGTGGATTAAAATCTTATGTCTTTAGATTGGCAAGTCAGCTCCTTAACCACTAAGTTTCACCAGAGCTCCCTTGGCAAATACTAATCCAGTTGTTTTATGTATATGGATATGCTTGTTGTGGACACTTCATATAAATGGAATCATGCAATGTGTAGGCTTTTGTACTTCTCCATTTTACTTAGTATATCTATGTTTCATTGACTATGCAAAGGCATTTGACTGTGTGGATCACAACAAATTGTGGCTAACCTTGACAAAAATGGGAATCCTAAAACACTTGATTATGCTTTTGCGAAACTTGTGTTTGAACCAGGAAGCAGTCCTCAGAACAGAACAGCAAAGAAACACTGCACAGTTCAAAATCAGGAAAGCAGTGTGTCAGGGATGCATCCTGTCTCCATACCTTTTCAATCTATATGCAAATCAGATCATTTGAGAGACTGGAATCTATGAGGAGGAGTGTGGTATCAGGATTGGAGAAAACTCATCAACAACCTACGTTATGCAGGTGACACAATCTTGCTTGCCGAAACTGAGGAGGACTTGAAGCACTTGCTGCAGAAGGTCAAGGATTGTAGTCTTTAATTTGGAATGAAGCTCAACATCTCGAAAACAAAGATCCTTACCACTGGGCCAATTGGCAGCACCATGATAGATGGAGAAGAGATTGAGGTTAACAATATCAGCTTGCTCGTCTCCAGGATCAACACTTGACACCAGCAGTCAGGAAATGAAAAGACTGGGAAAGTCAGCACTGGGAAAATCTGCTGTCAAGGATCTCTCCAGAGTATTGAAAAGAGTACTGATGTCAGTCTAGAGACTAAGGTGTGCCTAATCCAGGCCATAGCCTTTGCGATTACTTACTCTGCATCAGAGAGCTGAACAATAACTAAGGATGACAGAAGAATTGATGCCTTTGAGTTGTGGTGCTGGATAAAGGTCTTGAACATACCATGGACTGCCAAAAAAAAATAAGTCTGTCTTAGAGAGGATTAAACTATGTTTCTCCTTGGAGGCTAGGATTTTTGAAGCTCCATCTCACATACTTTAGGCACATGACCAGGAGGGACTTGGAGAAGGACATCATACTCGGAAGGGTGAGTGGACAGCACAGGATAAGAAGACCTCCTATGAAATGAATTGTTACAGTAACTGGGGCAGTGAAGGTGTAGGTGTGTCGGAATCAGTGAGATTAGCTCAGGACAGGACAGGCCTCAGAGCTGTTGTAAGTAGGTTCTCTACAGGTTGCAGGTGACTTGATGGCACGTAACAACAACATAATGTTTCCAAGTTTGTTATGTATTACTATTTATTTTCAGTATCAGCTAATATTCCCATTGCTTCGATATACAACTTTTTGTTTTTTATCAGTTAATCTGCCTTTTTGCTGGTTTCTATATTTTGGTGTTTATCAGTAGTGCTGCTCTGAACATTAATGTGCTTTTTATTTAGATATATTTTTAATTATCTTGAGTATACACCTAGAGGTGGGATAGACATGGTAACTCTGTGTTTAACATTTTGAGAAAATTACAGATTTTTTTCCTAAGTGCTGCACCATTTTACATGCCCAGCAGCAGTGACTGAAGATCCCAGTTCGTCCACATCAGCATTTGTCATTTTCTGTCTTTTTTTATTTTAGTAGCGTGGTCCATAGGGAGTTGCACTGCTAATCCAAAAGCTGCGCCCCTCTGGTGGTTCCAATCCATGGGTGCCTCTGAGGAAAAAAAGATAAACTGTTTCCTCCCATGTGATTTACAGCCACAGAAACCTGCAGGACGGTCAGCTAGGAGTCCTTTCCAACCAAATAGCAATGAGTTTGACCATGGTTTTTCTGTTTGTTATTTGTGTGGGATGTTCATTGTGTTTTTTCAATGGATGTGAAATGGCATTAATATTTTATATCTCATTGATTAATATTTTTGTACATCTTTTCATGCACTGATCAACCATTTGTATATCTTCTTTGGGAATATATTTCATTCAAATCCCTTACCTATTAATTAGCTATCATAGTTTTATTATCAAACTGTTCTTTTCTGTAGTTTTGAACTCTTACTTGGTATAGATGTGAAAACAGTAGGTGTCAGCGTCCCAGTGTATTTTCACAGAGGGATGAGTCCTCATCAGCAGTAACTACAGAGCAAAGATAATTACACTGAAGTCACCCCCCCAACCCCACAATGTCAACTCCAGTACCAATCATCCCTTCCACAGTTCTTGATGCCTACTACTACTGTTGTTGTTCAGAACTGACCCATAGCTGACCATCCAGTAAGTTTTCTGAGGCAATAAATTGCACAGAAGGAGACTGCCCATCCTTCTCCCGTGGAGCAGCTGGTGGATTCGAACCATCTGCCTTTGAGATTGGAGCACAGCTTCTTACCACTAGGCCACAGAGCTCCCTGTATCTTCTGTTGTTGTTGTGTGTCATTGAGTCAGAAATGACCTATAGCAGACCCTCTGGTGGGTTTTCAGAGGAAGTAAATCACACGGGAGATTACCCATTCTTCTCCCACAGATTAGCTGTGGATTCAAACTGTGTGCCTTCGGGATTGCAATGCAGCTTCTTGTCATTAGACCACCAGAGGTGCCTATCCCTAGGTTCAGTAATTTACTGCAATGTCCACACAGAACTCACAGATCATACTCATGATTATGGAGTTAGTTAGCAAAATGACAGATTATAATTCGGATTGGACACATTCAGGACACGATTCTTTAAGCAGGGCAACCTAGAGCTTACAAACAGGCCTTTCTCTTACCATCATCTTCACAGTCTTGACTTCTACTCTGGTTTGGCAAGTGTTACAAAGCTCCTTTGAGTTCTACCAATTATGTACCACCCCCACTGTGCCTGAAGACTGAATGCACTCAGTTCTAGCTCTCTGGGCTGGCAAACCCAACGCAGCTCTATTTTACACCAGTATCTGGTTCTTCACCACCTCTGCTGCTCTTGTGCTGCTGCCACCACTATTGCCCTCTGGACTGCTTGCTGTCTAGGCTGCCATGTCTTGGTCTTGATCCACCTCGTGCCGGAATCTCTCGCCCAAAGCACGTGCTGCATTCTCTGGTGCTGCTTTCTTTTTCTTTCTTTTTTTTTTTTTTTTTTTTTTTTTTTAGCTGGTGCTGCTTTCTTGATGGAGTGAACTTCCCCTTTTCTGCCTGGAGCCTGCTCAGTTGAAGACTAGTGGGATGGCAAAACTGACCAATCCCCATGTTAGCATTTTGTACATCTTAATTGCATGTTCCTTTCCAAAATATTTCCACCATACTTAGCAAGATAGCCAATCCATCTGGTGGGCAATACATATTAACATTTGCATAGTCCTACCCAACCCAATGGGAGTCCCAGAGTACATAATTGTGCTCATGTGGAACCTATACCTTGACCAGGAGGCTGTTGTGTGAACCAACAGAGCCGGGGCACACTACTGCATTGTTTAAAATAGAGAAGGGAGTGCATCATGGTTGTATTCTTTCTCCACATTTATTCATTCTTTATGCTGAGCAAATCATCCAGGATGCTGGATTCTAGGAAGAGGAGTGAGGCATCAGGATTGGAGGGAAACACTCATCAATAACCTGCCTTATGCAGATGACACAATCTTGCCTGCTGAAAGTAAGAAGGACTTGAAGCACTTGGTGCAGAGATCAAGAAACACGGACTTTCGTATGGATTGCATCCCAATGTCAAAAAGACAAAGATTCTTACCACCGGACTGATAGGCAACATTGTGATGGATGGAGAGGAGATTGAAACTGTCATCAGCTTCATCTTGCTTGTATCCACAGCTAACACTCTTGGTACCAGCTGTCAGGAGATATGGAGATGCATTGCACTGGGAAACAACTTACAAATTGCCGAAGAGTGGTGATGCCAGTTTGAGGACTAAGGTGCATCTGATTCAGGCCATAGTCTTCCCAATCAGTTGCTGGAGCTAGACAATGAATAAAGGTGACAGAAAAAGAATTGATGCCTTTGAGCTATAGTATTGGAGAAGGACCCTGAACATCCCATGGACAGCCAAGAGAACAAACAGATATGTCCTGAAGAGGGTGCAGCTGGAGTGCTCTTTGGAAGCAAGAATGATGAGGTGCTTCGCCTAACATACTTTAGGAATGTTGCTAGGAGAGGCTATTCCTTGGAGAGCGACATGATGCCGGGAAGGGTGGCAAAGGAGAGAAAGACCCTCAACCAGGTGGATTGACACAGTGACTGTTGCAAGGGGCTCTTTTTATCAGGAAATGTGAGGATGATACAGGATAGAGGTTCACATCTTTTGTTCATAGGTTTGTTATGAGTTGTACCTGACTCAGCACCTAACAGCAACAACTCAACCCAATGTGATTTTCTGGGTTTCTTCTAACATCTTCTAACATCCATTTGGGTTTTTTCTTTCTCTTCTTTCTTTGTAAATATTTGCCTCTCTTCATGGCTGATATCCTTGATGTCAACCAATGCCTTGTCTGGTCTTTGATTGTTGGTGTTCAGTGCTTTAAATCTATTTTTATGATCATTTTAAAATTCAAGTGGAATAGACTCAATATCTTATTTTGGTTTTTGTGGACTTCTTTTAATTTTCTACAGCCTCAGTTTGAACTTGCATATGAGTAACTCATGATCTGTTTTACTGTCAGCACCTGGTCTGGTTTGAACAGTTGATATTGAGCTTCTCTGACGATTTCTCTACAGATAGTGTCACCATGAGTTGTGCTTGACTCCTCAGCACCTCTTGTTAAGGTGCCATCAAGTCAAGTACAACTCTAACAAACATATGAACAAAAGATCTGAACCTAGTCCTGTCCTACACTGCCTTCACACTTCCTGACACACAAGGCCCATTCATTGAAGCAGTCACCGTGTCAATCCACTGGTTGAGAGTCTTCCTCTCCTTCACTAACCCTCCACCTTTCCCAAAATCATGTCCCTCTGCAAGGAATAGCACCTCCTAGCAATATTTCCAAATCATGTGAGGCAAAGACTCATCATTCTTGCCTCCAATGACTACTCTGGCTACACCCTCTCCAAGACATATATATTTGTTCTCTTGGCTCTCCATGGAATGTTCGGCATTCTACTCCAACACCACAGCTCAAAGGCATCAATTCTTCTTCTGTCATCCTTATTCATTGTCCAGGTCTCCGATGGATAGCTAATAATCTGAAAGACTATGGCGTGAATCAGATGCACCTTAGTCCTCAAATGGCCATTTCCTTAATTATTTGGAGAAGTCCCTAACTGCAGGTTTTCCCAATGCAATGTGTCTCCTTATTTCCAATACTGCTCAGACTAAGGGTGTTACTTGTGGATCCAAGCAAGATGAAGCTGTTAACAGTTTCAATCTCCTCTCCATCCATCATGATACCAACTTTTGGTCTAGTATACTTACCCAGTGGTAAGAATCTTTGGGTTGTTTTTGTTTTGTTTTGTTTTTCATATTGAGAGGTAATCCATACTGAAGCCTACGATCCTTGATCTTCTGCAACAAGTGCTTCAAGTCCTCCTCTCTTTCAGCAAGTAAGGTTGTATCATTTGCATAACTCAGGTTATTGATGAGTCTCCCTCCAATCCTGATGCCACATTACTCTTCATAGAGTCCAGCTTCTTGGATAAAACCAAATTTTAAGCCTCATGTAACAATGTTGAAAGATGTTATGGGCAATATATTGAATGACTCAGAAAGTATCAAAATAAGGTGGAGGAATACACAGTCACTCTACTAGAAGGAATTGATTGACAATTGAAAAATTTCTGGAAGTACCATATGAACAGGAGCCAATGGTAATGAAAGAGGAAGTAGAAGCTGCATTGAAGGCATTGGCAAAAAAATAAGGGCCGGGAATCGATGTGATACCAATTGATTTATTTCAGTTAACAGTCTTGGGTGTACTCACTGATCTGTGCCAGGAAATTTGGAGGACGGCTGCTGTCTGGCCAACTGATTGGAAGAGGTCCATGTTGTTCCTATTCCTAAGAATGGTGATTCAATTGAATGTGGAAATTATCAAACAGTATCATTGGTATTACACGCAAGCAAAATACTGCTGAAGATCATTCAAAACAGCTGCAACAGTGCATAGATACGGAATTGCCAGAAGTCCAAGCAGGATTTAGAAGAGGCTGTGACACCAGGGATATCATTGCTGATGTCAGATGGATCCTAGCTGAAAGTAAGAAATACCAGAAGAATGTCTGTTTGTGCTGTATTGGACCGTGCAGAGGAATTTGACTGTGTGCATCTTGACAAATTGTAGCTGATATTGAGAAGAATGGGAATCCCAGGGCTCTTAATTGTGCTTATGAGGAGCAGTTACCTGGATCAGAAGGCTGTTGCGTGAATGGAGCAGGGGAGCACTGCATGGTTTAGAGTAGGGAAGGGAGTGCTTCAGGGATGTATTCTATCTTAATACCTGTTCAATTTATATGCTGAGCATCAGCGCCTAACAACATTAATAACCAACCCAACCACGAGGAAGCTCTGGTGCCTTAGTGGGTAAGGAGTTGCCCTGGCAGCCCAAAGGAATATTCAGATCCACCAACTGCTTCACAGGAGAAAGATGGCCAGTCTCCTCCCCTGTGATTTACAGCCTCTGAAAACTCAGTGAAGGGTCAGCTATGAGTCACTTCCGACTCAACAACACATGATAGTAAAAACCACCAAACCATATAGTGAGATTTACACTGACAGTGCTTAAAAAATGTTAGATAATTAATTATCCACTACAGCACAATATGATTTGCAAATATTTTCTCCCTTTCTATAGATTTTCTTTTTACTTTCTTGGGTTTTTTCCCAGATATTATACTGAATATTGGCAAATTTTTGCTGTGGTAGTTTCATATGCTTTCATAGGAAGAAGTAGGCCATTCTGTTTGGGGAGAAAAAAGGTTAAAAACTAAAACCACATGTGCTTTTCAGCTCCTCTGAAAATTGAGAGGTAATAATTATAAGATACATGCTTACAGATGTGTTATACATGTAGAGACTATAACAGCAGACTTAATAAAGTTTATAGATACATGTAGAGACTATAACAGCAAATGTAGAATTTGAGGCTGTATCTTATCTGTGGGGAAGATTTTTTTTATTTTTATTTTATGCTAATTTACTTACAAAGTTTGTATTCATTATTTTTCATACCAGATCTTTCCTGTTTCCTTTACCCACCCCTCCCTCTACACATCAGATTGCGCGATCCTATGACCATCTTCACCCCTCTGCTCCTCCCTTCCTCCTTTGGATCCTCATACACGTTTTACTAGTTATCTGTCTTCCTATTGCTATAATAATGGTGTTATTCAGTATTTGTCCTTCGGGGACTGAATTAGTTCACTCAGCATAATGCTCTCCAGTCCCTCCCAAGTTAGGTAGTGATTTTCAAAATCATTGTTCCTACATGTTGTGTACTATTCTATCATATGAATATACCATAATATCTCAATCCATCCAATTGTGGTTGAACATTTGGACTATTTCCATGTTCTTGCAATGGTGGCAAATGTTGCTATGAACATTAGTGTACAAATCTCTTTTTGTGCCTCAGTTCTCATTTTCTTGGGTATATTCCAAACAGTGAAAGAGCTGGGTCATGTGGAATTTCTATGTTCAGCTTTTTGAGGAAACACCAAACTGCTTTCCAGAGTAGTTGTATCATTTTATAATCTCCAACAATGTATAAGAGTTTCTGTTTTTCCACATCCTGTCTAACACTTATTATCTGATGTCCTGTTAAACTTTGCCACTGCTACTGGGGTGAAATGGTATCTCATTGTGGTTTAGATTTGTATCTCTCTTATTGCCAGTGATTTTGGAGCATTTCTTCATCTGTTTGTTGGCCATCTGAATATCTTCCTCTGAAAAGTCTTTCCCTGTCTTTTGTCCATTTTGTAATTGTGGGGAAGATATTTTTTAAGACAACTTTTTAGTAGAGATAATGAGGAAAAGTAGATAAATGAAGAAAAAAATACATTTTTCAAAATTGACTTACTGCCTTACTGTTGACTCTGTTTTGATTACGTGTTTAATTAAATCCATGATTTCTGTCTCTTTTTTTCAGCTTATAGTCGCTGTTGAACAAAAAGAATTTCCCACACTTAAGGATCTGTATGAAAGAGGCCTTCAGAATGGTGTCCGGGGTCTGAGACTGATCCAACAAGAAGAAATTAAAAAGAAGGAGCCGTATTGTAGGGTAAGTGATTCTTCAGACACACACTTTTTCAAAGGGATAGTTTCACTGAGGGTATAATCTTGCTACATAAAAACTAAGGATGCGGGAGCTCTGGTGGCCTAGTGGCAAGAAGCTGCACTGCAATCCCAGAGATATGCGATTCGAATCCACCAGGTGCTCTGCTGGAGAAGAAGGGGCAATCTCCTCCTGTATCAGTCAGATCTGATTTAACGGCACACACACAAAATAATAAAAATTTAAAAACAAAACAAAACAAAACAAACTAAGGATGCAAGAAGGATTGCACTGCAATCACAGAGGCTCGCCGTTCAAATCCACCAGATGCTCTACTGGAGAAGGAGAGACAATCTCCTCCTGTACCAGTCAGTCTGATTTGACGGTACACACATACAAAATAATAAAATTAAAAAAAAAAAATTTAAAAAAAAACCCCAAAACTAAGGATGAATTTTTAAGAGGCAGGAATCATATACTCAGATGATTCTGTCACAGAATCCATGAGGTGACAGATACAAAGGTCATTTCCACAAACCCTGGATACCCACTGTCTTCCCTTGGTGAGAAAATACCAACATTTATCAACATACACAAAAGCAAGACTAAGTGTGAGGCTTCATGGCATGAATGGTGAGAAGTAGTTGGAGAAATTACATATGAGACTGGAAAGGCAGTAGGCCCAGCCAGGGCAGCTAGCATTCATAGTAAAGGTTTTGAAGTTTATTCAGCAGGCGTAGGGAACCCCTGACATTTTTTTGAGGCGATAAGCTATAATATCTGATCTGTATTTTAGGAAGATAAAGTTGGCGTCAGTACAACGGGTAGGTTGTAGAGTCTTGCTTAAAATATGCTATGGAGAAAAATCAGATGTCCTTTCCTCTTTATTCATGAAGGAGACAGGAATAATAATATAGTTGTTACTTTGTGTTACTTTTCACCAGAGGCTGTCAGTTCAACCCTACAGTTCAACTGACTCTTTCAGAGGATGGTCTTATTTCTCCCTATCCTTACCATTTTTGATAGCTGAGGAGCAGAGTATGACCTTGAACTCAATGCTAGGTATGGGTTTTCAAAAGCTTGGTTTAGAGAAGCGATTTCTAGGAGACAGCCTGGAAGTTAAGTGGAGCATTATTTTCTTCATATCTCCAGCCCGTCAGAGTGGTACACTTACACTGCAGTGTTTTGCCCTCCTCATCCTAGTCCCCAACTCCAACTTACTTTTTGGCTTAAGCTTTAGTTTTGTGGCGTCAGCCTGTGGGGAAGGCTGTTGTGTCATATACCCTGCAACCTCAAGGTAAGGATGTGGTTAATGACGTGTTGTTTTTCTTTGTTACACAAGAAACGGATACTTTCTTGAAACTCAGCGCAAAACTCATTCTAGTGAGGTTAAAATTGTCTCACATGTCCCGCTTCTCCAAGTTGCTAACTCCATTTCTAACACCAACTTCTCCTGCCCTGAGACTCTTCTTCCCATCTTTGGGTTCTGTAATGCTCCTGTGATGTCTCACAGAACTCAAATGGTAGTTATAATTAAGTGGTTTATTGGAGGAAGTAACAGGTTACAGTTTAACATCAGGATCAGTTTGGAAGTAACAGGATTCAACAACTCTGGAGACAACGCCAGCTTTGTCAATCAATAGAGTTTCCCGATAAGACACTTCTCATGTCCTTTTCAATCTTTCCTGCTGCTGGGCCTTCTTTTGGCCATTGCTGACAAGCCGTGCTTAGGTCTTTGCTGTTTGGCCCTTATCTCTCTGATTCTGTGTGCCTGCAAGCTCACTGTAGCCATCTGCCAGCCCTGTGGATCTCACAGATTGTACCGCTGCTCTTCTTAACCGTTGTATTGACTGGCACTGCCCTTTGTTACCTGTTGTTGTCCTCAGTATTACAGATCTTGATTCAAGTATTACAGCTTTTTGAAAAAGTCTTCCTTCTCTCTTACTCCATGCATTTCTGAGAAACCTGAGGGTTGATTAGCTGCTTATAAGAAAGTTCCTTTTTTTTTAAAATCTGACCCTTATTTATTATTTATTTTATACACACACACACACACACACATGAATCTGCTTTATGCATAATAATAATTGGTTCTCTCAGATAATTATTCTATTAGAAATCTTCTAAAAATAGATTCAGGCAAAAGTAGCCATTTCTGCACTCTACCAACTATTTATTCACCATTGTGACCTTCTTACTAATTCCAGCTGTGTGGTCATCCACACTATTCAAAATAGATATTTAACTGCATTAAGGTGAGAAAAAGAGGCTGAAAGAAGCCACAGATTTAGAAAAATGAAACTGTGTATTTCACTTGCATCAGGTAGACAGCAGATAGGGCATGAATCTCAGAGCTCTTTTACTGCAGTGTGAGGGGCTTCTGAACAGCAAGGATGATGGTGTATCGAATAGGAAGAGCTGTGTGTGGGATTCATTTAGCCTCTGCCTTTCTTGGGCTCTTCAGTGATTCAGCCAGGGCTGCCTTGTCACGTCTTCAGCCAGTGTGGAGCAGTGTAGTTTCCAGGAGGCAGGCAGAGCTTGTTGGTGATACCAGTGTTTTTGATGGTTGAGGCCTTTTAAGCCGTTTGTTGTTTTGGTTTTTGTTTGTTTGTTTGTTTTTTACCCTTTTGGTGACCAAGGAGCTAGAGGCAATGGCAGAAACACAGCCAAAGATCTTGAACCTGATGTCTACAATCTTTGCTTTTCCATCTACTTGGATCTGTAAGTTCGTTACATTACCACAAACCAGAACCCCCATCAATTCAGTTCCAGCATTCTTAGACGTTTTATTGAGTGACCTTCCATTTCAAGGATTTTCGTAGTGATCAGCAACCTTCTTGTGATAGAGCCAAGCCAGAGCCGATAGTTGCTAACTAGGCAGGTGGGGACTCCGGAGCAGCAGAGCAGACACTGCTGCTCCAGCTGCCATTATCTGCGCCTTAAATAAGCTTCTCAACAGTTTCAAGGTATAGGCCTCCATGGTTCCCTTAGGTAGACCAACCGAAACTCAACTCTTTGCTGTCCGGTCAGAACTGACTCATAGTTGACCCTCCAGCAGGTTTCCAAGAGGCTGTAAATCGCGTGTGAAGACATGGCCTGAAGCAGCTGGTGGGTTCAAGCCATTGTTTTTGAGTGGGCAGCACAACTCCTTACCAACCAGGCCACCAGAGCTCCCTTTGTTGTTAGGTGCTGTCGAGTCGAGTAGGACTCGTAGTGACCCTATGAACAACAGATCTGAATCCTGCCCTATCCTTTGCTATCCTCTCCATCTCTGACACACTCAAGGCCTTTGCTGCAGTTACTGTGTCAATCCGTCTCAATAGGAATCTTCTCTTTCGCTGACCCCTCCACCTTTCCAATCATAATACCTTTTTCCAAGGACTAGCCTTCCCCAGCAACCTGCCCAAAGTATGAGAGACAAAGCTTTTCCATCCTTGCCTCCAAGGACCACTCTGGCTGCACCTTTTCCGAGACATACCCGTTTGTACTTTTGGCAGTCCATGGGATCTTCAGTCTCTTCTCCCAGCCCCACAGTTCAAAGGCATCAGTTATTCTTCAGTCATCCTTATTCATTGTCCAGCTCTCAGAAGCATAACAAGTTATGGAAAAGACCGTGGCCTGAATCAGGCTTAACTTAGTCTTCAAACTAACATCATTTCTCTTCAGTATTTTCGAGAGGTTCCTGACAACAGACTTGCCCAAAGCAATATGTCTCCTTATCTCCTGACTCCTGATACCCAGGCTGTTGATTGTGGATCCAAGCAAGATGAAATTAACAGTTTCAGCCATTTCTCCATCTGTAATGATATCGCCAGTAGCTCAGTGGTAAGGACCTTTGTTTTCTTGATGTTAAGGCCATATAATCACTTATTTTGCTTCATCAACTGGCTCCTGCAAAGTCACTTATTTTTAGGGTAGTTTGACACACCCTATTTGCACAGTAGAAATAGTAGTTGGGAAATATGACCTTGGTGATTTAACCCCCACTTCGAAAAAGAAACCTTTGCTGGAGACCACATAGTAGAATTTTGCAAAACTGGTGATTTATTAATGGAAAATCCCTTTTTTCAGTAACATGACAACCATACATTTGGACCTTACCTGATGGAATATACAGGAATCAAATCAAGCACATCTGCAAAGAGCTGATATAGAAGCTCAATATCATCAGTCAGAACAAGGCCAAAGAATTACCCTGGACCAGACCATTATTGACTTGCATACAAGTTCAAATTGAAGCAGAATAAAATGAAAATAAATCCACAAGAGCCAAAATAACAATCTTGAGTATGTTATTGTTGGTTTTGTGTACCATCGAGTCAGAACTGACCCAAAGCTGACCCTCAAGCAGGTTTTCAGAGGCATTTAAATGCACAAGAGGAAATTGCCCAAACTGCAGAGCATGTGGCAGATTTGAACTGCATGCCTTTGGAATTGCAGTGCAGATTCTTACCACTAGACTACCTGCTACCTGAACTTAGAAATCATCCTGAAACAGATTTGGCACATTGAACACTAATAACTAAACACTAAATAGGTTGTGGGATGAAACCATGCGTGAATGAAGGGAAAGGTTCAAAAGGCAAAAGATAAAAACAAAAATGAATATGAGAAGAAACTCAGAAACTTACTCTTGATACATAAAGAAGCTAGAGTGAAAGGAAGAAAAGATGAAGGAAAAAATTTCAACAAGAGCTTGAGAAGACAAAGTAAAACAGTGTATTGAAACATGCTCAACATTTCTCAAGCTGAAAGACCTGGAGAAAATGCCACGCCTAGAACTGCCATATTGAAGGACTCTATGGACAAGCACTTGAAAATTTTCTTTTCTTTTTTTTTTTTTTTAAGAATGAAGAGGGATTTAAAAAAATTTTTTTATTATTAATTTTAATGAAAGTTTACAGAGATTGAGGATTTCCATTCATTCAGTGTTGCACTTTTCTCCCTGCCCACCCCTCACTCCCCCCAGTTTGCTCTTCTCTTTGAAAAGTAAAAGAAAAATTCTT